CCCTCCTTCCTTCCTTTCTTTCTTTCCTTTTCTTTTTCTTTTTTTTTTTTGTAAGTAAGATTTCATTTGACATGCTTAAATAATTAAAAAAAAATCTTTAAGTGAAACAAAAATCATAATCACACCTGTAATGGAAGTTTTGGAAATGAAAGGCTTTGGTCTTTGAAAAGATCAATCACTTACAAAAGCAGCAAATGTGAGATGACGGGGTTTTGTTATTAAATTAGTCACATCTTGGCCCTTAAGTAGGCTTCCTGGGATGTGTGATTTAACATGTGTAGTGTTTATCAGTCAGTGGGACAAGATATGGCTTTGTTCCTGGAAGAAATTTTGGAACCAAATAAAAATCTACAAATTAATTGTATCCAGTGAATAGTTGAAGTGAGTGAAACTGTTCTTCACTTTAAGCCTGACTTACAAATGTGGATTTAAATTGGTTTATTTTAGAGCACAGTTTTGGACAAGATACAAAACTTTAATTAGATCTCTGTAACAAGAAGATATATGAGAGTAATCACCTAGTTTTCTCTAGATGTTATGTTCTTTACCCAAAGTGGTTTGGAATGTTATCTGAGGGGCATGAAAACTGCTTAAACACCATGAAAGATATCATCTGCCCCGGGATTCTGTTTAAAATATTCTCTTAGTTAGAAAGATTTCAAGAGTGTCATATAAACTATTTTGATAAACTATTGTATCCCCAGCATGGCCCCAACAGGATTGTATTTTGCTTGTCTTTTGCTTATTTATACTGTGCCTGCTTCCAAAGAGGCTTGAGGTGGTTTACAATGAAAGACAAATATTAAAAAAAAAAAAAAGTAAAACAAAACAAAACAAAACAAAACACTTCTGGCTGAGACAAACAATACCATTCAAGCATAAAACTTAGTTCCAGGCTGCCTCATAGCCAAGTGAAATAGGGGAAATTAGGGTTTTTATGACTCTCATTATCCAGTGAGTCAAGGAATCATAGAGTAGAGTTTATTTAGGAGAAAGTCTTTCCTGGCTCAAGCTTGGAGAGGAATTTGTCGTAAGGGTCCTTATATGATGGATATTCAAAAGTCTAAATAAGAAGTATACAACAGGCAGAACTAATGTATTTTTTCTGGTGCATAGCTTTGAAATCACTATTGTTGAAAGTAAGTAGTAAGTGCCTATAGTTACTTTTTTAAAAAAATTTTTTTATGTGGGGAAGTAATTAGGTTTATTCACTTATTTATTTATTTAAATGGCAGTACTGGGGATCGAACCCAGGACCTCATGCATGCTAGACAAACACCTACCACTGAGCTATACCCTCCCCTCTCTAGTTACTATTTTTGAAGGCAAATCAAGGACGTAACATCAAATCTTGGTATTCTCAGCTTCTTTCTTTATAAAAAGGACTTATTCAAAGTGCCTAACAGAGGGTGGCAGGGAGGACAAATGAGTTAATTTCTATAAAACCTCTTTCTGCTCCAAGTGTTGAATATGCTATAGTTTTCCCCAAAGTGTGTACATACAGTTTTTCCTCCCCTCCTATAATCTCTTTATTGTAACCCCTCTTAAATCCCTTTTGGTGCATGTGCCTGACACAAAGTAAGCAATAAATATTAGCTATAAATATTATCATTATTACCATTTCTACCACCGCTTCTGTCAAAGCATGCAGATGAGCCCGTGTAGGGGCTACATGTGGTGGTGAGGTGGCTGTGAAATCTTGTTACCCTTAGTAGGTAAAGCTTAGAGGACGGTGAGGAGTAAATGAATATCCCTTTTGTTGTTTGCTTATCATCTCCTGTCCTCCATGACTTCACTCAATTGTCTGATTTGAGGAGCACTGGGTAAGGATCCCTTCCCACAACAGGCTAACATCTATTTAACTCCCTGTGTCCTAAGACCTGTTACCTCAAGAATCTTTTTAAATTTCTTATACTTCTGAGAGGCTCAATGCCTCAAGCTGTTAAGGCCAAATCCCAGAGGCAGAGCCTAGGGGTGGGGACAGCGGAGAGAGCCACTGAAGACAGGAGAGGACACCACTAGCAAACCCTCTTTCTGGAATAAACTGCCTGCCCCCTCTGCTCTGCCTCCTTCTCCATCCCTCCCACTTGGTCCTAATGAACTGCTATCTGAGTGAATTTTCATTTCAAATCTTTGTCTTCCTCTCACGCGGTC